GGACAAATCTGTTTGTTTTCCTAGCAGTCCATGGTATTCTCAATACTCTTCTCCAGCACCACAGCTCAAAGGCATCAATTCTCCTTCTATCCTCCTTGGTCACTGTCCAACTCTCTGATGCATAATAAGTGATTGGGAAGACCAAAGCCTGTATCAGACGCACCTTAGTCTCCAGAGAGACACCATTGCTCTTCAGTACTTTGGAGAGGTCCCTAACAGCAGACTTTCCCATGGCAATGCGCCTTTTAATTTCCTGGCTGATGGTGCCAAGACTGTTGACTATGGAGCCAAGCAAACTAAAGCTGTGAGCAATCTCAATCTCTTCACCATCCATCCTGATGCTGCCGATTGGTCCAGTGGTGAGAATCTTTGTCTTCTTGACATTGAGCCTCAATCCATATTGTAGGCTGCAGTCCTTGACACTCTGCAGCAGGCGCTTCAGGTCCTCTTCAGTTTCAGCAAGCAGGGTTGTGTCATCCGCGTAACGCAGATTGTTGATAAATTGTCCACCAATCTTGACCCCACATTTCTCCTCATAGAGCCCAGCCTCCCAGATAATCTGTTCTGCATATAGGTTGAAAAGGTATGGAGATAGGATGCATCCCTGGCGTACGTCCTTCCCAATTTTGAACCATGCAGTGTTCCCTTGCTCTGTTCTGACAACTGCCTCCTGGTCCAAGTATAAGTTTTGCATTAGAACGATCAAGTGTTCTGGGATTCCCATTCTTCTCAGAGTCAGCCATAGTTTGTTATGAGAAGGAGGAACAATCTCCTTCTGACTGATATAGGAGGAGATTGTTCCTCCTTCTCCAGCAGAGCATCTGGTGGATTTGAACTGTGTACCTCTGAGATTGCAGTGCAGCTTCTTGCCACCAGGCCACCAGAGCTCGCCATTTAAATATGAGAGGAAAGAAATACATCAAGGTGATGGTACAAAAAAAAGAATTTTTCTATTTTTATACACACACACACACACACACACACACACACACACATGGAATTATAAACTTCTGATGAAATAGACTACACAGCAAAAAAAACCTATCATCTGGCACAAGGAAAAGATTATAATGAATAAATCTAGCAAGAAGATAGAGCTATAATAAATATCTGTGCAAATAGAGCCTAAGACACTGAAAAAAATGCTAAAAGAACTGAGAAAATAAGCCACTCTACAACAGTTAAGACTTTAAACAAAGAACTTTCCATTTAAAAACATGTAAAAATATACTCAACAAAGATACAGAAGATCATAACATAATTAAGCAACTATACTTACATACTTACATACATATATTTATGTATGTACACATATACATATATACTGAACATCCACTCGAGAGAAGATACACATTCTTGTCTAGTGCACTGGATTATTCTCCAGAACAGACCACATATTAGGACACAAAACAAGCCTCAAAATTTTTTTTAAAAAATAGAAATAATACAAAGCATCTTCTCAAATAACAGTACTATAATTAGAAATTATTATGAGGAAAATCAGAAAGAAAAAATAAAACTGATTATACTCTGTGTTAAAATCTATTGGAAAATAGAAGAAATAAACTATAAAGTTTAAAAACTCCAAGAAGCAAATGTGAATGTAAACAGAACACACAAAAATTTTTGTTGCATAAAAAAAACTTTTATGTCTCCAGAAGTTCATGTATAGCAAAAGTTGCATATCAAAAGAGAAGGACCAAAATCAATACATTTTAAACACCAATCATTAGAAAAATACAAACAAAACATGCCCAATAACATTTGTCATTGTTGTTACTGTTAGTTACCACTGAGTAGAGTACAACTTATAGCAAGACTATAAACCACATATCTGAACCCTATCCTACCTTATGCCATCCTCACAATCTCTGCCACACTTCACTGTAGTCATTTTGTCAATCCACCTGGTTGAGGATGTTCCTCTCTTTAGCCATCCCCCCACCATTTCAAGCATGATGTCCCCCTCCAAATATTAGCCACAGATTGGGAAAAAATATTTGGTAATAACATGTCAGATAAGGGACTTATATCTAGAATTTATAAAATACTCGAGCACCACAAGATAAATAACCCAATTGAAAACCGGGCACAGGATATGAACAGACACTTCACCAAAGAAGACATTCAGATGGCAAACACACACATGAAAAATATTCAAAATCTAAGACAGATGCAAATTAAAACAACTATGAGGTACCATCTCACACCAGTAAGAATAGCAAAATTTAGCAGAACAGCAAACATCAAATACTGGCAAGGTTGCGGAGAAACTGGAATTGCTGGTGGGAGTGTCAAATGGTGCAACCACTATGGAAGGCTATATGGAGCTTTCTCAAAAAGTTGCAAATACCATTTGACCCTGCAATTCCACTACTGGGAATATAACCCTAAAAAACCAAAACTGCCACCCAGGCAAATATATGCACACTCATGTTTATTGTGGCTTTGTTCTCAACAACAATGAGCTAGGAACAACCCAAGGGCCAATAAAACAAACAAGTGGATAGAGAAGCTCTGGTATATTCACATAATGGATTACTATGGAACACTGAAAAACAAGGCACTCATGAAATATACAAAATGGGTGACCCTGGAGGACATTATGCTGAGTGAAATATCTCAGTCACAAAAGGACAAATACTGCATAAGTCCACTGTTGTAAAACGGGACTGACATCAGGGTTGAGGGAAGAAAGAGAAGGTGATGTATACTGTACTGAAACAGATGAGGGAGAGAACTGTTTATAAGGATATATGATTGGGTATTATTGTCATTATAGCAGTTCAGAATGAAGGCTGCACAGTGGAGTGGACTTGGGGGTAGGGACTGCATAACAATGAACGAGTTTTTCTTTTACTTTTCAAGGAGAAAACTGAATTGAGGGGGAGGGTGGTCATGGAGAAAAGTGCAACAATGAGTGACTGGAAATCCTAAGTCTCTGTAAACTTTCATTAAAATAAATTAAAAAAAAAAGATATAAATGGAATTAAAACCAAAACAAAAGACCAGCCTTTCCAAGCAATATGCCCAGAGTATGTGAGATGAAGTTGTGCCATCACTGCCTCCAAGGAGCACTCTAATGTACTCCAATGCATAGATGTTTGTTCTTTTGGCAGTCTGCTGGATATTCAGCACCCTTCTCCAATAACACAGTTCAAAGGCATCAATTCTTCCATCATCCTTATTCATTATCCAGCTCTCATCAGTACATAAGTGACTGAAAAGATCATGGTCTGGATCAAACGCACCTTACTTCTCAAATTAACATTACTGCTCCTCAGTAATTTGGAGAGGTTCCTGACTGCAGACTTTTACCAATGCAATACATCTCCCGATCTTCTGTCATTTCCCATTAAGGAAATATAAAACAAAAGCACAAGATCATAATACATACTTGCAGGAAGTGTTGGTGAGGTTAAAGAGAAAACTACAATCCTTATATATCCAGAAACTTATAAGAAAGGTACTAAAACCTCATACATCCAGAGACTTATAAGAAAGGTAGAGGTTAGCAAGAAATCTCAATGAGAGGACATGACACAGTGATTGCAACAGTGGGTTCAAACATGGAGATTGTGAAGATGATGCAGAATAGGGAAAAGTTCTAAACTATTGCTCAACAGTTTCACTACAAATTGAAGTCAACCTGATGACATCTAACAACATAAACAACAACAGCAAACTTCATTCTCATCAACTCATTGCCAGTGAGTTAGAAGTGATTCATAGCTGACCCTCCAGAGGATTTCTGAGCAACACAGGAAGAGACTGCACATCTTCCTCCAGCTACTAGTGGATTTGAATTGCCAGAGGGTTAACAATGTAAGTTTCTACAGACTACACCATGAGAGTGATCTTATATATTAGTATTGTTGTTGTATAGTCAAGTTGGAACCAACTTAGATTTGACCCTCCACACATTTTCAGAGGCATTCTATGTAAGGAGATTGCCCATCTTTCTCCCATGGATCAGCCAGTGAATTCAAATCACGTGACTTTAGGTTGGCAGTGCAATTCCTTAACACTAGGCTACCAGAGCTTCCTCTCATGCCTCAAGAGAAACCTCAAAAACTGCTATCAAAAAAAAAACAACACCAAACTGCTACCAATGGGAATGTAAAATGCAACTGTACACAGTTTAATAGTTCCTTTTTTGAAGAGCAAAGAGCTCTAAGCCCAAAAGAAAAAAGAACATGCGCACAGAAAAACTCAGACATGAGTATTCTGAACAGCATTACTAGCAATAGCCCCACAGAAGAAACTTGAATGTCCAATAGACAAACAGATGAGCAAATGTTCTAGATTCACACAGTGGAATGTTATCCAGTCGTAAAAAAAGGTGAAGTAGAGGCAAATGATACAACACAGCTCAATTCTGAAAACAATCTGTAATGTAAAAGCATATTCAAAAGCTTTGGTGCTGTTGAGGTGGTTGCGACTTACAGTGAGCCATCGGGATACCGAGGCTATAAAGCACAAAGAGAGGAGAGCCCCCATCCATCTCTCAAGGAGTAACTGGGGGGGATCCCACCACTGGAGATGCAAAGCCTCTGGGGTTAACAGAGACACTCTCTGCCAGGAAGCCAGTCACAAAAACACCACTTATTACACAATTCCAGCATTTATAGGAAACGCCAGAATAGGCAAATCTACTCCAAAGTAGATTTGGAATTGCAATGAGCAGGAGGCACTGAGGAGTAAACTAATAGGTTTAGATTGGGGAAGGGGTGAAAAAGTTTTGAAACTGGTTAGTCGTGAGGACTGTAGAACTCTGCAGAGAGTAAAAATCATTTGATAAATAAAAGTTTAAAAAGAGGAAATTTTATGGTTTCAGAAAACACATATAATTACAATTATATTTGAATATTATGGTTTTGAAGCCCACTCAAACTATGATTCAATGTATTCACTCAGATACTACCTGACTTTCATACATCAATACATCTTAGACAGGTTTATACATGTATTAAAGACTTCTGGAAGTATGACATACTTACCTCTTCTAAATAAATATTATCAAGATCATACGGTGTTCTGACAGATTCCACCATCCAACCTTCAGGTGTGTTCAAATTCAGAGTGAAGAGAGGAGACTGTGGCATATCCAAAAATTTGGCTATTGGACCTTTGGCAAAGCTATTATCTGAAGTGAAAGAAATCTCTGGTTCTAAGACATACCGGTAAAAGCTGAAATTAAAAGAGAAAGTGTTAGATTTTCCTGTCTATGTACATGAGTTTCCAAGTATTTTATAAAAGAAAATGGGGTTAAAATTAACAAAGTTTGGAGAACTATTCTTTCAATTCGGATCAGTATTTCCAAAACCATCTTTAAGTTAACTATGACTGTATGCCTTGTTGCAGATGGGAAAATTTCAGGTGGAAAGGTAGGTTTATAGAAGGCCATCACTTCTTGTACTGTCATGGGTCACTGCTGTTGGAGGTCTCCAGCATTTTTTGAGCAATTTCTTCCCTTCAAAACCAGTTTTTCAATTAAAAAAAGAAACCAACAAACCCACTCCTAAATGGTGATTAGGTTCTCAGGTAAACCTTGAAAACACTAATACTATTTAATAATGTCATCACACCTCCTATATGTGGGAAATTATAATTTTCTAATTCTTTTGTCACATCTAACACGTTTCAAACATGAATCTAACTTTCAAAAAGTCAGTAATTTCTTATAGTGCTAACATGTGCCACATGTTAAATTTTTGTTACTAGCAGCTTTTTATATCATTTTCTCATCAATAACCATTCTAAAGTTCATGACAGCATATAGACAAGTCTGTCCTATTTCTCCAGACATATGCAAGCAAGCTTCAGAAATCTTCCTTAGGTATGCAGAGCTCAGCTTGAAATAACTTACATTTCGGAGGGACCATTTCCTCCTGTACCAGTCAGATCTGATTTAACGGTACATGCACAAAAAATAATAAAATAAAAAAAAAAAAGAAAAAAAGAAATAACTTACATTTCTTCTCAAATGAAAAAAGTAAAGGGAACTGTCTCTACTGCACCAAAAAGACATCTAGAAGTTTAGTATATATACTGGGCAACATTTTTAATTAAAGAACTGTAAAATTTCAATGGAGAAATAAGAGCAGGTAGTACAAGCTCTCTGGGTTGAGACCACTAAATTTCCCTTTAGTATTAAATGCCCACAGTAAGCTCTTAAAAACTTGTGACTAGAGCAGCAGACTTTGGGAACAATGAAAATCCAACCAATAATCTTTACAAACATGACATTTTACCTGTAAACTTGTTTTATCTTTAACATTATCAGCTTTTGGATTCATTATGATCTTTTCTATTGCTGCTTTCTTAAAGAAATTATTTTACCTTTTTAAAGGCATGTCGGAAAGTTTAGACTGGCAGTTCATAAAAATTCTTAAGTTCATGTTTATCAGCTGAGACATAACCTAAAAGAAAACCAGGTGATAAAACCAAAAATGTATTCTTTTAGAAATGTTAGAAGGTACAATACTTTTTGGGGAAAAAGTCCCAAAACCAAAACCGCAAAGAAACCTCATGCTAGTTATAAAACAGGAAAATGTCTTCAATTTACTTTTTTTTTTTTTACTGATTTTTATACATTCATAGACATTGGAAAATTTTTTTAAAAGCAGATTTTCCCCCCTCTTTTCTCTTTTTAACTGGAAGTAAATAATGATATAAATCAATTTAGTTTAAGGGCATTTTGCTATAAATTTCTTTGTGAATAACCAAATATGTACACGTTTTCCTAGCTGATAGAGCTGTTTTTAGAGCTACCTCCAGTCCTCATGAAGACACCTGCTATCCCATTACAGCACTCTCACATTCCTGTGACCTGAAATCTTCATGAAGAAGCCTGCCATCCCATCCCACACTCTCATATCCCTGTGTTCTGAAGTCCTCATGAAGACATATGCTATCCCATTCCACATTCTCACATCCCGGTGACCTTAAGTCTTCAAGAAGACATCTTGCTATCCCCTCCTATACTTTCACATCTCTGTGACCTGAAAAAACTAAGTGATCATAAACAGCACTCAAAATGACAAGGCACAAAACTGCTTCAAATAAAAGTGACGAGAGTTTGTCCTTACCAAGAGCAATGGCGCAAGTCTCTGTGCTTCTCTGGTGACAGGGTCAATGATGGCTACAACATCAAAGTATGTCTCCCCTTCTTTCGGCTCCAGTTTAATGACACTACAGAGATAAGAAAAATAAAACATGATAGATATATAGAGGAAAAAGGAAACAAAGTTAAACTTAAAAAAAATTTTGGGGTCTAACCTACTTATGAGGAGAAATGTGGGGTCAAGATTGGTGGATGATTTATCAACAACCTGCGTTATGCGGATGACACAACCCTGCTTGCTGAAACTGAAGAGGACCTGAAGCGCCTGCTGCAGAGTGTCAAGGACTGCAGCCTACAATACGGATTGAGGCTCAATGTCAAGAAGACAAAGATTCTCACCACTGGACCAATTGGCAGCATCAGGATGGATGGTGAAGAGATTGAGATTGTGCACAGCTTTAGTTTGCTTGGCTCCATAGTCAACAGTCTTGGCACCATCAGCCAGGAAATTAAAAGCGCATTGCCATGGGAAAGTCCGCTGTTAGGGACCTCTCCAAAGTACTGAAGAGCAATGGTGTCTCTCTGGAGACTAAGGTGCGTCTGATACAGGCTTTGGTCTTCCCAATCACTTGTTATGCATCAGAGAGTTGGACAGTGACCAAGGAGGATAGAAGGAGAATTGATGCCTTTGAGCTGTGGTGCTGGAGAAGAGTATTGAGAATACCATGGACTGCTAGGAAAACAAACAGATTTGTCCTAGAAAGGGTTAAACCGGGTGGCTCCTTGGAGGCAAGGATTCTGAGGCTCCGTCTAACATACTTTGGACATGTTGTGAGGAGAGACCGGTCCTTGGAGAGGGACATCATGCTTGGGAGGGTGGAGGGACAGCGCAGGAGAGGAAGGCCCTCTATGAGGTGGATTGATTGAGTGACTGGGATAATTGGGATGGGAGTGTCAGAGAAGGTGCGATTGGCACAGGACAGAGTGGAGTTTAGGGCTGTTGTACATAGGGTCGCTATGAGTCGCAGGCGACTCAACGGCACATAACAACAACAACAACCCACTTATTTGCCATCTTTCTAAGCTACAATAGTGGTCAACCGCCTAATCATGTCCACCCTAAAATCTGTAACTCTCTTGATTCCAGCGCATTCAAATTTGTTTTGACAGATGTATGTGAAGCAAGGAAAGTAGCAGGAATTGTATATAAATAAACAAAGTGCTAAAACCTTTTATTACAAGTGTCAAATCCATTTTTTTTTCTCTTACAAACACTGACCAAGAAAGATGTCCTTCTCTAAGGAATGGCCCTTCCTTCAAACATGCTCAAAGTAAGCGCTACCAATAATTATTCCAATACAAGTTTTCCCCCAACTCTAATATAGCTATTCTCAAAGAATGGTCTCCACATCAATAATAAAACATGCTTCCTGCATTGGGAAACTAGATAAGAAGCTACCAGTTGAAAGTAGAGAGAACTGAGGAGATAAAATTTAGGTGCCAATAAGCAAAACTAATGGAGAGTCAAAGAACTCCTCACCAACTAGCAGCACCAGAAAGCAAGAAATGGGACTCTATCAGGAAACGAAATCATCAAAGTCTGACTGCTCAAGTGTGAATCTCACAAGGATTGGCTGTGAGAATGCACAGGTAAACAGCACTAGTCAAAGATACTCTAAAAGAATTTGAGAAGAAATAAAATCATAGAAAGCAGAAGCAGCTCTACTTTATCTGCAATTAGAGCCTCCTAGTTGATTTAAGGAGTATGCAAAAGCCAATACTATATATTTGTAATAAACCAAAGGCTATTTCAGGATGGAATTCACCAAGAGGCACTAAGGCAATCTTCAAGAGTTTATGAGATTCTTGCATTGTATTTGCTGACCCCTCCCTCCTAAGTCAAGGAAAGGTTTTCAATAGAAAGAGCTTGGCTTCATTTGCATTGAATTCTTTTTGTGATTTACTTCCTGATAATGTTCAATAAAGATACAGGGAAGCTTGAAGTCCAGAACTCCTGGTCCCCTGTCTTTATGCTCTCTGTTCTATTTAATTCTCCGTTATCTGTCTCATTATTAATAATGATAAAAATACTTTACCCGCCTTCTGCAACAAAGGAGGCCAAATCTAATCCAATCACACCCAGTGTCAAGCAATGGCCATAACCAAATCACAACCAAAACCCATCTGGCCAATTGCTCCATTCATCTTCCTAAATTGAAAGTGGCCCCAGACTGGCAATCAAAAGCCTTTTTAAACAGGAGGCCAAATCTATTTCAGTTGCCAGTCCAGTTTTAATTATCTTCAGTCAAACATTCTTCTAAACAATGGTCTGGCAATTTGCTGTAGAAGGCTAAACAGTGACAATGACTGACTTGTCAAATATGATCATGTTACCCAGGGTGGACAGTGTTTGGGGGATCTCTCAAATTAATACAGGCTTGGAAGCAGGAATGGCATCCACTTCCGAAATAGTTTGCCTCTGGAAACTCTACAAACTTAGAGAAAAGATGAAAGGTTTTCCTGTTTAAGACTTTCACAGAGTCTCTATGAGTCATCTATGACTCAATAGCACTTAACAGCAACATTTGATTTAAAGTGTTAGAGTTAAGTTTTTGCCATCTTAAGTCCCTTGTCCTTTACTCCAATCAGAGTATGCCAAATATTTGCACTTTTGCTAATGAGCCCGCTCATTTTCAAATTAACCAATCGCTATGTGCTGCCTCCATCTTACCTCACAAGTTCCCCAATCCCCTTTTATCTTCCTGCCCTTCATCCAGTCTTTGCCACTCCCAGCAACAATAAAAACCCTTGTCTCAAAGCCCTGGGGGCTCTGCCACTTGACTGCGGCATCAGGGTGTGTGTAGAGTCCCTGCTCCAGAGCTTATAATAAAACCCTTATGTTCTTTCATCGATTCCGGCTCCCTGGTGTCCTTTGGGGGACTCGCGTTTGTGGCACAACAAAAGTACAAGCAAGATATATATAATTTTCAGAAAAGGGAAGAGCTACCCTCATGAAATATACAGAATACTTTATAAAAGCAATTTTATGTGAATCTGAGGAGGTAACAACCAGACTGAGGATGATTCGATAAGCAAAAAAATCCCAATGTCCACTAAAAAGTGTCCTGTGAAAAAGAACTATCGCATCTTGAAAGGAAAAAACCCCACAAACCAAGAGGGAAAGAAATTAACCAAACAGTAAGAGTAACATACATTAACAAAGAGTTCATTACAGAAGCAAAGGGGAAGCTGAATGGGGACTACAAATCACTTAAAAACACTAGTGATAGGGTGGTATTAGTAAGTTCAGAATTCTCTATATACGTTATAAAACTATAGTTATATAATTATAAAACTAAGAGGACTAAAGACTCAGCAAGAAAACTATTGGACATAGTTGACCAATTCAGCAAAGTAGCAGGATACAAGATCAACATACAAAAATCAGTTGGCTTTCTCTACC